CAAAAGTTGCCAAAAATATGTTCACATCAATTGTACACTAACTATTGATTTTACCGAACCATTTGTAATAAATCCAAAAGAATTTCTTACAGTTGCATTATTTTGTAATACATGTAAAGCTGATCATGTTCAATTAACATTAGTGAAATCAATTGATAAATGCACAGCACGAATAACAAAAGATGGGGATACGGAATTAATTAAGGGCGAGCCAGCTTACAATTCTGTTAACAAGAATGAGCAAAATAGGAAATCAAGTAAATAGTAATAGAAATGAAATGTCAAGAACTGTAACATCTAGAGCAACAATATATGCGGAAGTAACAAAACCGCTTGCGGCACAAATTTTGAATGAAGAAACAGTAGTAACAACAAATGAATCATCTGCTCAGTTGAGAATTGCAACACGACAAAATGCTAGCACAACTAGTAAAAATCTCAAAGCACCGGCATCAAATTATAAGCCAAATTTGAAAACAGATTTTAATCGTGCATTCATTGTGTATTTGAAAAATCATACAACTCTAATAAAATATACAACACAAGAATTATTAACCAAGTTAGAAGCAGCCGTAGGACATCTTCAACTGAAATGCAAGCCACAACTTGCTTATATTCATCCAAAAGGGGGACTGATCTATCAATTTCTAAATAAGGCGATACAAGGAAAATTAATGGAAGAATATTGAAATGAGAATTGGAAAATAGATGCCTTTAATGGCGATTATTCCGTTTACCAACCGGGAGCATCATCATCTCATTGCTTCATAATAAAAAATGTTCCGACAAGTCTTGATATTGATGAAGTTTTAACATCAGCTGAATTTACAGAAAATAATACTCACATTGATTTTGAATTCAGTATTGAAAAAGCAACTTGGTTAATTAAAAAGAACGTTTATCGAAAGCCCCACACAGCGACAGTTAAAGTAGAAGTTATTGATGAAAGAGTTAAGCAAAAATTATTAGATTGTGAATGTGTCTACTTAGCTGGTAATCGATGTTTTATTGAAAATTTTAAAAGAATAAAAACTCCAACTCAATGCACTAATTGCTGGCGATTCGGCCATATACATCTGACATGCCGATCAGAAAAACATTGTCTGAATTATGGTGGTAAACATGATGTTGAAGAATATGACTTAGAAAACCTAAAATGGGCTAATTGTGGCTCGAATCATGCGGCGAATTCACAAAATTGTGAAAAATACATTGAAAGCGCAGAAAAATTAAATGAAAGATCCAATGACTAGTTCCGCGCTATCGATCATAATAATAGCCAATTAAATATATTATCAGCGAATGCAAGAAAACGTATCTTGTTTAGTACCGAATTATTGAACTCATTTGTCAATCAACGTTCTTATGATTTTCTTATTGTATCTGAATATCATGATGATGCAGCAACAGCTATTAAAAATGACCATTGGTGCATGACAAAAAGATGTGCAAAAGGACAAGGTGGAGTATTAGTCTGCTTTAAAAAAATCATCGAATATAACGCGAGCATTTGAATGTGAAACAGATCAAAACGATATAATAGTTTTGTTTGCCCACACAAAACCGAAAATAACCTGTTTTATTGCTGTCTCTAATCGTCCCAGTTGGCAAAATGTAATTAAATTTATTGACAAAATGCACAAGAAAATAAAGAAACATACCGATCAGATTATTCTCATAGGGGATTTAAATGCAAGACATCAACATTGGGGCGATCATGTAAACAAAACTGTCAATAAACAATTATATGAGAAAATAATTGAATATGATCTGGAAATACCCAATGAATTTGGAGTGCCTTTGTATGGCACTTAAGCTTATCGTGATGTTGGATTGATAGTAAGCCGATTAGTGTACCAATTGTTATATATCCCAAAATAAACTTGAATAGCTTCGTATAACTTTATTTGTCATCAACTAGTAATCTTTAACATAAATACGATGCATAATCTATAAGCTAATTGAACGCATGTTTGCAAAAGCAAAAAGAACTTCGTTTCACTGTGCTGTACGATTTCATCTGAGTTTTGAACATATATGTCATGTTATGGTAACATGGCTTTTTTCTCACGACTGATATTGACTGAAACAGAGCTGATCTCCACATGATTCACTACCCAGCGGCGAAGTGACAACGCCATCACTAAAACAAATTCAAGTTAATGATAAACAGATTCAATATTAATGATACGTTATTAATAGCAATCATTATTATCTCTACAATTCTAAAATTCTTAGTCGTTAATAAGCTTAACATGACTATCGCAACTGACTTTGACGTTTTTGCATTTTCTTTCATTAGCAACTGACAAATTATCTACTATTTCCCAACAAGGAGCAATAACAAATTTGAGTTTGTACATGAATAAACGACTGCGCTAGGAGAAACCGAACATATTCCACAGCCACAGATCGCATTACTTAGAGGTAGGCATCTTCTATTCTTCTGCTCTGAAAACGTAACGAGTTTGTACATAATTTTCATTATTTTGTATTTAGGTATGGCCACTAATTGTAATAAAAGCTCAAATATATTTTTGCTTGGACTAGCATCGAGTATGATGACAGACATTCGAACTTCGAATGTTTCCGTGCAGACTGTGATGCGTTTTGCGTATGCATTTGCTGTTACGCTGATGGTTGCCATATCGATTCTGAGTAATCTCCTCAGTATCATGACATTCGCTGTACCGAATATACATTCAACTGCTGCTGGACTTTGTCTGCTATGTTACAGTTGTTACGGTCTCTTTGGAATGATCATGCTGCAATTTCGGCTAATTCAATTCATTGATACCCTTTCGTATGTACCGTTCTTCTTTATCTGTAATATTGTGTCGGGTTTGGCCAGTATCTTCACACGCCTCTGTTTGTGGATGAGCGCTTTCATTGCCTGTCAACGAGCATGGAATTGCTTGGAAAATATTCGTTGGGCGAGGCAAATCCGAACACGATCATCTTCCATTAAACAAATCATTTTCCTAACCGTTTGCATCTTCTGCATGCACATCCATGAACTGATTAGTCGAGTCACGCTGCCCGATCCAGTAGCACCGGGGAAATGGGTATGTCAAATTGTGTATTCACCAGCATTAAACACGTTGAATACCACGTTTACATTTATGCACCTTTTCATTCCATTCCTGATGAACATTCTGGCGAATGGTCTCATTTTGATAAGCATCATTAAACGAAAAGCCAGCTTACACCAAGCGAGTTATAGGAAGATGTGTGTGGAACAACTGAAGAAACATCGTGACCTGTTTATTGCACCAACACTATCAATGGTAAGATTGCATTTGGACTGCTATGCACTTGCATGCCAAAGATCGATTCGGATTGAGTTGGGGATTTGTTGCAAAATTTGATGATCACAAAAGATTTTCTTACATCCGCAGAATAGTAGTCGTGGTAAAAATACATTAGTTTTCGTCGTTGCGAGAAACAAATCTGATCCAACTCCAAGGATATACACACTTTTGGCATTTTCTTCTAGAAATCGAAAGGACACTGAACGGATTGTTTTGTCTCTTAACGACGCTTGAGAGGTTCTCGTTGTTTCATAATTTGATCTTCTTTCCTGATTTATTTTAGATATGTGT